AGAGGGGAGGGAGGGGGGAGAACAAGGGAATCCGTGGCTGATATGTAGAACTGAATTGTATTGTAAAATAAAATAAAACTTAAAATAAACAATAAATAAATAAATAAATAAATAAATAAATAAATAAAGAAAGAAAGAAAGAAAGAAAGAAAGAAAGAAAGAAAGAAAGAAAGAAAGAAAGAAAGAAAGAAAGAAAGAAAAAGAACTGAAAGGTGAGTCTGCAGAAGGGATCAGCAAAAGCTGAATCATTTTTGGCTTTCAGAGTCATATTTAAAAGTTAACCTTTTTTCATTGTGCAAATAGTAAGGAGCCATTCAAACCCAGGTATGCTAGTACAAAGCTGAAATTCCAGCAGCGCACTAGAGGCAAAGGCATGAGGATTCTGAGTTCAAGGCCAGCCTGGGCTATATAGTGAGCTCTAAGCCAGCCTGGGCTATGCAACAAGACTACAACTCAAAAAAAGAAAAAAGAAGAAAAGAAAGGAGGGAGGTAGGGAAAGAGGAAGGGAGGGACAGATGGACGGACGAATAGACGAACGGAGGGACAGAGGGAGCCATGTGTGAATTTAAATGGAAAGGGGGCAATGTTAGATTTTTTTTCTGCACAAAGACCATTCTAGATTCAAGAGACGAAGTAACTGATGAAACAATGATGACAGCTAATTTACTGGATAAAGAAAGCTGTAAAGATCTCAATGACGGCATCAATGATTTGGGGTTTAGTTCCCAAAATGATGAGTTGCAACCCATCAAATCAGAAAGCAAATGAGGCCACTGTGACAAAGATGAAATCTAAATGGGACGATTTCATTGGAATAAGGGTGACATCCAGGAAATAGCCTGTGACTGGTGAAAGGGAAATGTGAATTTTCCTACAAATCCTTAGAAGAAAGTCAAGCCTATAAAAGTGAAAGCTAATGAGTGCTCAGCTCAACACCAGATGGTCAGATAGATACATTCACAACGTGCCAAAATTCTGGAGCCTTGCACAGCCCCTTCCAAGAATGCAGATGCTTTAATCTGACAGGGAAAAATCTATTTCTGCCTCTGACAGCAAATGCCAAGTCACGTCTTGCCAGGGGAGAGCGTGGCTGCTCCCAACCACAGACTCCCCAAGTATGCACCCTCTCATCCTCACTTAGAGACCCGGGCTGTTTGACCACTACTTCCACCAGCCCTGGCACAAAGAAAGGAGGACGGAGTTTCTAAAGAACTCAGTTTTTTTAATCTGCTTTCCCAAAAAGGTAGATATATATCTCTAGGTTATTCATGAACAGTTCATGTTTATCTGTGAAAACAAAATGAAGCATCTCAAACAGAAACTTATCTGCCCATTCTGAAAACGGCCTGAGGCATGGAGTCCGACAGATTTCTCAGTGACTCGAAACTGGCTAACCTTCCACTGAGAAGCAACTAAAGAATCAATGCTGTTCATCTCTGTCTTCTGTGCACTGCAAAGGGTAAGCATAGAGCATTGCCAGTGGGACTGCTTTTATTACTGTTCTTTGGCCAGACTGATGATGCCTGTTTGCTAGAGATGGAATTATTACATATTCCACCCCCAGTGTGTTCAAAGACAAGAAGTATTCAAAGATGTTCTTTGTAAAGGAGGCACTGTCCAAACACATGTTCATTTCAAATCGCAATTTGTATGTGTGGTACTGGAGAGATTGATTTTAAAGGCAGAGAACTTGCATCCAACACTCTTTACAAAGCAGAGTAAGGAAAACTCAGAGGGACAGGGTGGTCTCCCATTCCCGAAGAATATGGTACAGTCTCCTGTCACACAAATGGGTTCATGAACAACCAGTAAGTGACTCAAGTTCCTGACTCGACAGCTACCCATTCTCATTTTCTCCAAATAATGCTGCTGCATCAAAAATTTGAACCCATCAAAACCCAGGCAAAGAGTTTCATGAAAATGTCATCTACTAGAACTTAACAGCTAATATTAAAACACAAAGAATTTATATATCATATATACTTTGCTCAACTTTATGAGATGGAGCATAGGTAAATGCTCCCAAATAGTTATTATTATCACAATCCAGTGGCATATAAAACAAGACATTTTTATACAGCAGTCTAAAGCTGAAACAAAACCCATGCACTTGGTATTCTTCAGGGAAATGTGTGCATCATGTCAAGATAAACACATGAAATCCTTGCTGTTGTCTGCTTAGAGGGCAGGTGTCACCCCATCAAGTACAAGCCCACTCCACAAGATACTCACGGGGTTGAGTGTTTCCTCAGCAGAATGGTGAACGGTCCACCAGTCTGAGGTCCACTCCCACGCGTTCCCCACTATGTTGTACAAGCCATAGCCATTGGGAGGAAAGGCATCAACCTAGAAATAAAGAGGGAACAACACTGACCAGTTACTCAGCTTGCTTGGTACATGAATGTACCAAGACCTAGTTCTTTCAGAATATGAATATTGATTTTCATCCCCACCTGTCAAAAATCAGTCTGAACAAGAAAAACAAAAAGCCCTGCCACCTCTGTTTTGTTTTTTACTTTAATCACTCAAGGAATTTAGAAACCCAAAGAGCTCTATTAATGAATGGCCTGGAACTGGCAGTTATTTTTAATAGTGACTAACACCAGCTATAAGTATTAAGACTTTATTAGTATGAGAGAGAGAGAGAGAGAGAGAGAGAGAGAGAGACAGACAGACAGACAGACAGACAGACAGACAGACAGACAGACAACGAGAACAGACAAACAGTATTTAGGCCTCCAAAACCATTAACAGGGATATCCTACTATATAAGTATCAATATAAGTCTTGTCACTTAAAATCAGCTTCTGGGGCCACCTAGTGTCTTTCAGCACCATAGATACCACATCAGCTCCCCCCTCTCCACAAGCTCTCTCCAATTGACTACCTTATCTTTTAGCCTTAGTCACTGTCATTAAATAAGGAAGACATTAACTCATTATCCCATGTGTTTCTAATGGCAGGTCTCTGGGATGCAGCAGTCTGTAGCAAATTAAACATTCACCAAGAAATCACAGCACGAATCAGGGTCAGGTCAGACAGTACTGGGTACCACCTACAGACATGGAAGCAAAGTGCAGTTTACGTAAGACAGAACGCAAGAGGGGAAAACATGGATTGAACAATAGTAAATTCAGGTCACTGGACAGTTCATGACTTAAAAATTCTCCCAGCCAGGATTGAGGGTTTAGCTCAGTGGCAGAGTGCTTGTTTGTGAGGCCCTAGGTTTGGTCCCCACAATGGAAAGGGGATGTCATAAAAAGGCAAAGGCATAAATGAAAAAAAAGCAAAAAACAAAAAAAACTTGGGGGAAAACTTCTATCCCTTCTTTTCAATAAACATTTTTAAAAAACCAGTTTGTGATGCAAAAAAGTGGTTATCTTTGGGATTTTCTCCCTCTTTTCATAATTCATGCTTTTCCATACTAACAAAGTAACACTGTAAGAATGAATAAACTAACATTCATCTATGTGGCTTCAGATGGTTTTACATCTACACATGAATACGGAAGCATCTGCTGCTTGGGCAATTCGGAGCATTTCAATCAAAGTTATGAAGCCACGCTGAAAAGTAGTTCAGTGAGATGAGCTGGAAAGCCAAAAAACCCCACCATGCTGCTTCCATAATCAGCGTTTACTATGGAAACAGCCCTGCTTGTGCCTTGGCTCATTGAGAAATGCCATGTGCGGCCAGTACGGGCAGGGAGGGGCTGGGGGGCAAGTGAGATCTTCAAGAGTTTAATGAGAGGGGGAGAAAAGAGAGAGAGAATGCCTCAGACCAAAACTCCAGCTCTGAAGAGCTGGGCATGACAGGCATGACGGCAATCTACCACTAGGGAGGCCCAAACAGGATCCAGGCCATCCTGGGCTACAGAATGAGTTTGAGGCCAACCTGGGCCATATTAGGCTCCCTCCCCCCCTCCTCTTTTTTTTAAAAATACAGCTCTACAAAGCATATTGGGACGAAGAAAGTAAAATGACAGAAACTGCCAGAGAAATTCCAAGGGCCACACTCCGATGGGGTGATCTGAGCATACCCTGGAATAGAGCCTTGCGATCCAAATATAAGAGGCAAGAGGGAGAGAAGGCCACAGCATAAGCTATTTGTTCAAGAACGTGGAGGTGACTAAAATGGAAGGAAGAAAAAAGAGAAGAGACGAGACAGCTGTGGGAAGAAAGTGGAAGATGCCGTGGTACAGGGGGAATAAGAAACAGGTATCCACATTCTGGAGGAAGGAATCCATCCTCAGGATTCTGGAAGATACAGACAGAGGTGCTGACAAGAATCTGTCCTGACAGATTCTGTCAGGTGCTGCTGTTCCTCAACTGGAAAGTAACAGTGTCTGATCAAAGGTTTGCCCCCCCCCCTCTTAAATAACAGAATATTTGGGGTAAAATTTAGAGGTTACCACCCTCTTAATTACCAAGATATTATATGGAAAAGGAAATTTTCACAGCTCATGGTCATATGAATCACACTAACCAAAGCTTCCTTCCAAGAACCTCAGATGAAATCAAATGGAAAAGATAAATCCTGCTTGAAATGCCAATTTTCAGGCACCTGAGTCGATAAGAATTAAGACAAAAATGAATTAATGACAGTGGGACAGTGACCCAGCAGAATCTCCATCCAGCTCCTTAAGTTCACAGTGGTGAGCGGTCAGAGAGCGGGGCAGGGAGGGAGACTGGGAATTTCAGGCTAGCCTGACCCTGTCTTAAAGATGCAAACAAACAAAAAAGTTAAATTCCTGTCCTCGACTTCCCGGAGCATGCAGACAGTAAAGGACCATTCAGGGCAATCCAAGGTCATTTTTGTATGTGTCAACTCGACTTAAAGACCGAGGCTTGTGTCAGCCTTGGTTAAGTCTTGTTTCTAGAATGGGTCCCATCAGAACTCCTGGAAACTGGAACAATTTGATCTTGGCATCTCCAGGGGCAATGTCTTCACGGAAGGTCTGCAGAGACCCGCTGACCTCTCTGTCAAACACTAACACTAAACAAGGGAAAAGTAAAGCAGGAGTTTGTGTAGCTTAGTGCTGGGGTAATCCTAGGTTCAATCCATAGTGCCACAATAAAGGTAAAATAAACATCTGCAAAGCATCCTCATCTCTTCTCTCTTCTCTCTCTTCTCTCTCTCTCTCTCTCTCTCTCTCTCTCTCTCTCTCTCTCTCTCTCTCTCT